ATTTAAAATAGCCATCTTGCTGGCTGGAATAGTCTGTGGTTCTTGGAAACACTACGCGTTTGGGATACAGCAGCCATTAAGTAGATTTAGAGGGTTTGCAGAGAGGTCCCAGAAGAATCACTGAAGCAGCTTTGATCACCAAGGATTCATTCAAACTTTTTTTTCTGGGGCAGAAATATGGGGTAGTCGGTGCTTAAATACTTTATTCAGTAGAAAGCAGCCCCTTGTCAGCAGCAGGCAAGGCAGGCTAAAGAAAACAAGCCCTTATGTGGTGATGGAGGTGTTTGGGCCATATCTTTCACAAGGTGTCAGTTTGTGGTGCCAGGCATGGGGCTCTGCTGGGAGGCACCAATGACAAGCAGGTAACTGAATGGACCCTATGCCCAATGGTTGGTGTGAGGGACCTTCCTTTTTAAGTTCAGATGTCCAGCGTCCCTATATTTTGGTGAGTTAGGCAAAGATCTGGGACCAGATCCTGGGTTTTCCCCGTGTAGACAAGACAAAAATTAAAACAAACCAAAGCTTTGGGGCTAGCAGACTTGCCTAGTGAGGTTTCATGTACAATCGCTGCTTCTCTGCCAACCCTCCCCGCTTCCATTTCTACTCAGCCACAGGCCCTTGCAGCCTGCCCTCCTCTCTGGAGATTTTCCAACCATGGCCAGGCCAGCTGTGATGGAGTTTTTGTCACAGAGCAGCCCTCTCCCTTATCATTAACCTGCTGCGGCCGCTGGTCCGCTCCCCTGGGATGCCCTTCGCAGACTCCTGGGCCTGGGGGGGGCCGCTTGTCTATTTCCTCCAGACCTTGCTGTGCTCCCCGCACGTGATTCACAGCCTGGATTTTCAACTGGTCCATAAATCACCGTATTCCCGGCGTCTAATAAATGTGCCAGGACTCGGATGACCCCAGATGGTGGAGACATTTGTCCTTTTCACATAAAACTTCAAGCCCGCGTTTGTGGGGGTGGCAAGGGGAGGCCGCGGGGTGGCGGGAGCTGCGTTAGCGCCAAAGGACGGGGAGGGGGCTAGTCACAGGTCGCGTCTTCCTGCTTTCTCGTGGCGGGCCCCATCCCGGGTAGGGAGATTGCAGCTGCTGGGGGTTTGCAAGCCCCAAACAGCGGCGACCCAGCAGCTCCCGGGCGGTAGGGGGTCAGGCTCCCACGGAGGATCCGCCCCGGGTTTACACGACTCCGTCCGCGGGCAGCCCTGAGCCGCGCCGGGCAGAGGAGCCCTGCGGCAGCAGGATCTCCCGGGACGGGCGCAGCCCCATTGCTGGCTCCCTGGCAGGGCGGGGGAGTCCGCCTGGATTTCCTGCCGCGGGTCCCTGGGCAGCGCCGCCCCGACAGCAACACGCAGCGAGGGGCCCGGGTCCCGTCTCCAGACCGACGCGGAGGCCGCTTCAGGCTCTGGGGCAGCAGCCCTGGGAGGCAGCGGGCCTGGGCCGGGCGCTCTGCGGTCTCACGTTCCCCGCTGCCAGCTGGGCCTGCCCGCGGCGCCTTCCAGCCCCCCCGAGGTGGCCGCGCAGCTGGGGTCGGTCTGCGCCGGGCAAAGCGCCCGCCCGAGTCTCTCCCGCTCCGCAGCTGCACGTGCCCGGCTCTGCCCACGCCGCAGCCGGCAGCTCCCGCGTCTTCCCCCGCGTGCGCCGGTGCCGGGCTCGCCCGAGACCCCCGGGCCCAGGCGCTGCAGCAGCGCGGGTGGTCCCGCTTGGTGGCCCGGCCTGGATCGCACTGGGGGGGGGGCCTGTTCGCCAAGCGCCCAGCGATCCTCCCGCCCCCGTCAAACCTGCAGCTGCGGGAGCTGGGCCCGGCCGCTGCCACCCCGGGCCGCCCGGAGCGAGCCCCGCCGCAGCCACCTCCGGGGTCCCCGGTGAATAACGTGACCCCTGCTGCCCTCCCGCAGCTAGCTCGGTGGGGCCCTGCAGCCTCCCGGGCAGAGCCCAGGAAGGCCGGGAATGACCCAGCGTATGGGGCTGCCGCAGGCGGGGAGAGGCCACTGCCTTGAGGCCCAGCCCACAACATTTTGGCACCTGAGGGGGGGAGCTCAAATGACGCCCCCAGGTCCCCTCGCTTGGGCCAAAACTTTGAAAAGTCTCAATCCTCTGGGTCCTGGTGGTGCCCCCCCCCCCAGTCTGGCCCCTGAGGCGGCTGCCTCAGGTCCCCTCTGGGAAGGCCTGCCCGGCTGCCTTGCGCTACGATTTCCAGCGCTCAGCGTGAGGGCAGCACCGCCTGCCCCGCCCTAGGAACAGCCACAGGGCGGAGTTTCGGGGCGCCCTGTGGGGGGTGAGGCCTGTGCCCCGGGAAGGCCTGGCTCGCTCAGCCCCCTCCTGAGAGCTGAGCCGGCCTGGGTTAGTGAGGCGGGATCCCCAAGCGCTCTGTCTGACAGGCAGCTGGGCGGCGAGCCTGGTCCTTATTAACGCGCCGATCTAGACTCCTATCTCCAGTTTGCAGCCCCATTTCCTACCCGGGAGAAGGGCGCTTATTAGAGGCAAAGTGCCTCGGGAACTAGAAGAAAACCAGATTCCTGGCCCTTTGCATCCTCCTCGCCCCTCCTCCGCCTCCTGGAATCCCCGGGCCTGCAGCCCCCGCTGGCCCGCGAGGCTCCTTGGGGGACACACACAGACACGCCTCTAGCAAAGTCCAGCTTTGCCCCTCGCTCAAAGACCAGCCCTGTGATCGCCCTGCGGGCTGGAGACAGGCTCTGCTAGCCCTGCCTGGGCAAGGGGGCAGGTTCCCGGCGGGGGAGAGAACTGGCACCAAAGGGTTAAATATCTGTGGCTGAGAAGCCGAGCTCGCAGCCTGGCCCCAGGGCCGGTGGACATGCGGGGTCTGCAGCCTGTTTCCTGCGCTCCCCAGTCAGTTTCTCTTTGACACACACGCCAGGGCCGGCCGGCGGCGGAGTTTGAAATGTCACACCAGCTGACCTGGGCACGGCCTATCCAGGGGCCATTGCAGCAAACGGGGCCCCTCCCCGCCCCAGAGAAGCCCTCGCCTTGGGGTCTGCAAAGAAAATAAACGCAGGACACGCCAGACTGGTTCTCGGGGGGGGCAAGCAGCGCCTTAAGGGAGGGTGGCTGCTGCTCCTTCAGTGTATCGCTTGCAGGTGATGCCAGACCCAGATAAGGAGCCGCCCGGCCTTTGCCTCTGTCTAGACAGGAGAATTAATAAATGCAGCTAGATTGATCACATCGCAAATCCACTCCGGGGACAGCCAGGACAAAGCGGCCTCTCGCGGGGCTCCCCGGCTGCTGGGACAGATCTGAGCGGCGTCCCGTGAGCCCGGGGCCCCTGCTGAGGATTTTACTCACTGGCTCCCGGCGAGTCCCTGGGAGGGGTCCCCCGGACTTCTCTCCTGGCCGCCCCTAGTGCAAGGGGTCTGCTTCTGCAGCCGCTTAGCCCGCTAGCAGAGCGCTTTGGGGACGCACCGGGCACTCGCGAGCGGCCCGGTTGCTCACTGACACCGCTTGGCAGGGAGACAAGGGGCTGTAGGCGGCTCCGGGCGCAGAGCCTGTTCCCCAGACGGCAGCGAGGTGCGAGCCCGGCCGCTGAAACCTAACCTGCAGCGCTGGCGGTTAGTTACGCGGCTGCAGAGACGAAACCAGGGGTGCTGGCGACCGGTCAGTATGA